TGTGTAGGCCCTTTAGAAGAGCATCCCCGAGACTCCAGGAATGAGTAAAGCCTGACACCAACATGATCTAAAAATAAGGAAGAAAACGACTCCTGCAATTTCATTGCGCAACTTCATTTGACTAATCCAATCATCAAATTCAGTTTCTTGACCAACTCGAAGCCGAAGGCCAACACATATACCCGTCACTCGATAGAAAATCCCCACCTACGCTAGAATCCACCAGAAGGTCACGAGTAGTTGTGCTTGCAATAAGGAAGCAAAGCCTCACTGGAATCTGATTGGTCCATTTATTTGATCAGTGAAAGTGCAATAATCTGCTTCTTTATGGAGAACAAGGAGAGAACCCATGCATATACTCACCATTCAATAGAGCGCCTCCGATAACCCTAGGATCGGCCCGAACATGACTAGTACTTGTCCTTACAATAAGAAAGAAAAGCCCCACTGAAATCTGATTGGTCCATTTATTTGATCAGTGAAGGTACAATATTCTATATCTCCATGGAGAGCAAGGAGGGAACCTACACATATACACAGCATTCAATAGAGCGCCTCCGATAACCATAGGATCGGCCCGAACATGGCAAGTACTTGTCCTTACAATAAGAAAGAAAAGCTCCACTGAAATCTGATTGGTCCATTTAGTTGATCAGCAAAAGTTCAATATTCTATTTCACCATGGAGATCAAGGAGGGAACTCATACATCTACCCATCATTTGATAGAGCGTCCACAATAACCCTAAAATCGATCCGAACATGAAGAGCACTTGTCCAAACGATAAGGAAGAGAAGCCCTTCCAAAAACAGATTGGTACCTGGTTGGTGTGCTATGCGGTGTATACGACTGTATAGTGCACGGCGAAGCGCGGCAGTGATGTAGTCTATGGGAATACGGCCTAGATATGGTTGATTTTAGTTGCTGTAAAAGTCGATCTGGATATTTATAAGGACCGCCATTACGAAAATTACCTATATTATTGAGGATCACCATTGAGTAGATGAGTAAAGTCGATGGAAAGCAGAACTAGGAGAACCATCTATATTACGAAGGGCCTGTGTTGAGCAGATGATCGTTATCTATAAGGACTACCAACAGTTAAGGTAACGATATTTCCAGCGACGAGTTTTGCAAGGTCTTGAATAGTTATGCGAAGGAATATTAATTATATAATGGATGTTGTGGTTAATGATATGTGTAGTTTGGTGCAATAGGAAATTATATTTATCAATAAGTTTTTTTTGTATATTTAGGTTGATCATAGCTGGTCATTCGAAAGTGAGTTTTATTTGTGTATTTGAAAGTTTTCTTTTCTTGTTACAGGTTGATTCGAAATTCTGATTTTACCTGCAAGTTTCTTTGGTAAGTGTTTGATTTTCTATTTGGAGCGGATTGATTTTCAGTCGGTACTTAAATGTAAGTTTACTTTAAGGGTGGGGTGGGTGTGGGTGTGGGTATGAATATCGAATGAATGATACACTACACCCACACCCACACCCACACCCACACCCACACCCACACCCACGCCCACACCCACACCCACACCCACACCCACACCCACACCCACACCCACACCCATGCCCACACCCACACCCACACCCACACCCACACCCACGCTCACACCCCAGGAAGATGGAGATCTGGGAGATGCGGCATCTTCCTGTGGATATGTGCGGGAGATGCCGTGTCTCTACAGGAGATACCGCATCTCCCTCAAGGGTCCAAGCCTAAAAATCGAAAAAAAAAATTTTATCAGGAAATGCAGGGAGATGGAGATTTGGGAGATGCGGCATCTCCCTGTGGAGATGTGCGGGAGATGCTGCGTCTCTACAGGAGATGCATGTGTGACAGGAATTGCAGATATGTGTAGTAAATGAACAGTATGTTATGAGGCAATTTGGCATCTCTCGCATCTCTCGTGGCATCTCCAGCATCCCCGATATTCTGGATATGTGACACAACTCCGAACCCTATGTACGAAACCATTTTTCCTACTCAAGAAGAAGAAGTTTCATACGAAACCTTCTTTTTGCGAAACCAAGGAAAGGTTCGGAGCGTGTACCCGCGGACAGATCATTTTTTGGTTTCGTAAAATACCTTTTTTTTTTTACAGTGTAGTCGACAAAAGTACCGCTTCCAGATGAAAGCTATTTAAACCTTAATAAATTGAGTTCATATTTTTGCTATAAATAGAACCCACTAAACCCTGATTGCAAGGATCAATAAGAACCAGTTTGGCCTTAATGTGGAGGAGATACAGGGTAAACATGTACTTAATTTCAAGATCAATGATTAAGAAAAATGAATTTTTGGATAGATTTCTCTCTGATTGCTTATAGCTATGTTTCGGTGATTCTCAAAGAGTACTTCATAACCCAGACAAATCAAGGCCGTTTAGCATGAAACTTTTATGAAAAAGAGAGGCAGTATTGCTCTCTCTAATGAGAAGTCGCATACTATAAGATTTGCTTTTTTAGCCGAGATAGCTTTGCTTCCAAAACTCACATGTTTGCCTTGTAGCTCCTTTGTATAAGGGCCAAAGTAGCTCTTATCGGTTCTTGCGATCAGGATCCACTGAGTCCTATGTATAGCAAAAATATGGACCCAAATGATTAAAGTTTAAATAGTTTTCATCTGGTAGCGGTACTTTTGTCAACTACTGTATAAAGGAATGAATTCCAAGTTTTTGGTACGATTGGCGCGAAAAAATGAAAGTAGGTCTAAACAATTGCTGAGTAGTGCATTCTATTATACTCTATCCCTGTGTTATACAGCAGATATTTCTCACTATTTTACTGAATATTAATCGTGATACACAGTGTAGAGTTCAATTTCTGCGAAAGTCAATGATAAAATTTGCTTTACACATTGAAAGGGCTCCAGGCATTCCACTACTACAATAATGAGAACAAAGAGTAGAGAAAACCTCATAATACATAGACTTTGCTCGTTGCATTCTCCTGAGTTAAATTATACCTGAAACGAATATTTTCAAGTGGGTTCAACTGGAAATATCTCCAACAAGGTCGTTACTTTACACACTCTATTTGAAAAATGTCACTCTAAATTTTATAGTATTATTTAAATTTCTTCTGAACAATACAAAATCAAAGGCTAAAATTTTGTGGTTTATAGAACTTTGCTCTTTTATGTATACTATAAAAACTTGAGCCACATCGAACGACTAATTAACGACTTATATAGCACACGATTTTCAGAAAGTCCTGTTACTTCTTATCTAGAGCGAAGCTGAGAAGAGAAAGCTTGTACTCACCAGTTCGTTACTAGAAGAGAGTTTTCTTTCTTTTCAAATGGTCTGTATGCCATCACCTCTATCACTGGAAGAGTTAGAATCGAGTTCGCATGGCTCTACACAAAAGACAAACGTACTTATCAAACAATATGAACATTGGACTAGAAAATGAAGAAGGAATACAATTCAAATTAATTACACGCTTTGATAGAGTATTAAACTCTTTACAAAATGGACGGTTTGCATCCTTTTTCTTTCGTTTCACTATAGTCAAAAATTTTCTTTTACGGTGCACATTTCATCAAAAAATAGCGTTTTCTTGTAATATGTCTCTCATTACTCATCAGCAGTGTGAGATAAAGAGCTGAAATTTGGCACAGATAATGTTGAAAAAAAATCGTCCAAATCAATTAACCGAAACAAAAGTTATTGGTCTAATCTCTCAAAAATCTGAATTCTATCGAAAAGTTACAATTCACAACTTTTTAATTAGCTTTCTAAAAACATAATTATTCACATGAAAAATTGCTATTTGGTCTAGATGTATCAATAGATAACCGCAAATTTGTTTCTGTTAAGCTATCATCGGAAAACATATTCCTGCATTGTGCCGATCGGCATATATATACAAATAACTCTTTCTACTCTGTCTCCTAGTAACTAAGAATGCCATAATAAATTTTATTTGCCGTATGTGTGATCTTTATATTATACAAACGATGGGAAACGCATAAATGGCTGTCAATCGTTTCTCCTATAAGGCGAGAAATTTTTCTCTATTGCGATGGTTTACCTGATGTAAAGTAGAACGAACAAAAGGAATAGGAGAGAAAAATAAAAAGACGACAACTGAAATGACAAGGAATTACTAATATATACGGTCGTTATTACGTAACAATAATTCTAATAATAACATCTTCTATATATGAACAAGAAAAATGACCGATTAGTACTATTTAATAGAACATTTCTTGCTATACTTCGAATTATCATTTCTGCCTAAAACCTCAAACTGTCTGATAATAATAGAAATAATAATCAAGGAGCACTAGATTCCCTCTCTTGCCTTTTATGGCGCTCGACGAGTAGTCAGGGAAAGCACAAAAAATAGCATGAAAAAAAGTAAGCCAGAAAAAGGAAAAGAACATAAAAAGAAAGATAATCTCAAGAAATTTTTCTTCCTTTATATTCGAAAAGAAAAAGCAATTCTCATTGATGCATAGACCTAGATAGAGAGCAAGAGAGAAAAGAGAGAATTGAAGGTGATAAGAACTCAATCTTTCATTTGAACAGGTAAGACAATGAAAAGAATAAATTTAATTATTTTTATCGATTTCAATGAGGGTGTGGGTGTGTGGTGGGTGTAGGGGTAGGTAGGTGTGTGGGTGTGGGTATGGCTGTGAGTGACTGAGGGTGTTGGTGTCGACGTGGGCGTTGTTCTTCCCATAACCTTTGCCTACACCCCACACTCTGCATTGACACTTCACGTTCAACATATTTCTGTGATAATGTTCGCTGTCGACGTTTTCATTGTCGAAATTTGGCCAGGCCGACATTTTTCTATCAACATTTCGACACCTCACCTTATTTATCATTCTGATTGATAATACTCTTCTGACTATGTAATGAATCGAACCAAAGTGCAAAATAAGCAAGTAAAAAAATTGTTTTTCATTAATCAACAAGTACTGTATACCCCTCATTCATTCTCTTGTTGAAAGTGAAGAATAGAAAGAAAAAAAATAATGAGACAAAGAAAGAGTGCAAAGAGTATACTTTTACATTGGCATACTATATTTAAACATTTTATAAATTCATCAGGCAAGAATATGTCAGACAATAAAAATTCAACATTATCACACAGTGAAGCCAAATCAAAAGAAGAGTTTGGTTTAACTGGAGCAACAACTGGATCAAGTGGAGAACATTTAGCAACAACTGGAGGTAGTGCAATGGGTACTAGTGGAGCTAGTGGTGATATGGGAAATGAAAAATCCAAAATTGACAGATCAACTGATGGTATAGGGCCTTCAGCAACAACAACAGCATCATCATCAACAGTTGCTAATGATCAAGGAACACGTTAGATATGAAAAGAGAAGACTTAAAAACAGTTTAAATTTTATTGTATATAATTTTACTCCAGCATCTATAATAATATTTCATTCACATGGAAAAACGAAATAAAATTACTATAGAAATTGATTTTGAATAAACTTTTGCCATACAATATACGCATATTATCTTACAGAACTTTTCATTAACAATTGCCTTTTTTTTGAGAACTCATGTAAAATTACACCAATAAGTTCACATTCGACTTCTGCAGATACAATTATTACAGACAGCCAAATATTTATAGTAGACATCAGTTTTTCAAGAGATGCTCGTTTATCATTCAATTTAAGGAAAATTCAATAATTAAATCATTTGAATGAAATAGGAAATCAGTAAAAACTTGATTCAATAATCAGTATAGTCACGTTGTCGACACGATGTTCGGAATGTAACTTTTAAAGTTTATTAAGTACACAAAAAAATTCATTTTTCACTAGAGATTTCATTAAATGAGAGAACGTTTCTTCCAATATGTACGCAACTATGACGAATGACCAAAAATTTTTTAAATAACACTTAGTAAAAGGGGCTGGAAACATTTGTTTAGTTCGTCTAGAATTATAAGCCTAAAAAAAAATTTGATTCTCGCATATATATTTTTTCATGGGATATCGCA